TTACACCATTAACTTAGTAGATGTTTTTAAAATTTCTTTTCTTATTGATCTCCGCATTTCCAATCTTTGCTTCTTGCACTTCTTATGTCGCATTTTTGCAGCCCTTTTTTTCGTTTGTCCTATATTTCATCGTTGCAATGCTTTGATTATATACCTACTGCTCTTCACTGTCCGTGACTACGAGAGCTTCTTCGTACTTGATTTGTGTTTGTTTGAGCTTCTTGATTTGTGTTGAAGAAGAACCACCGTTGTGAGTTCCGACTTTACGGATGCTAGGCTTCTAGCCGTCTCGACTTTTAACTGTCTGCAACCGTTATGATACCATAGTCAAATATAATAGAGAGATTGTTTATATCTTTTCGAATCGGAAGACACCAAGTAATGAACTTAAAGACAACGTGCGTGTGCGCTGCCGTAAGTCACGAAATTTCAGTGATCGAAATTCACACGTGTTGTACAACGAAGATCGACTAGCGCCAGAATTACCTTCGTCAACTTCGTCGGGCCTCCGTCCAGGAATATGGGCCAACTTGTTACGCATTTCGTCCACAAAATTAAACGGGCTAGCCGAGTAATCAGAACCTCGTGACGACCGCGAGAAAGAAGAATTCTCCTGCGTCGCCTGGTCGAGCAATTCTGATAGGTCACAACTGGTGCTGGTCCGGTCGGGACTGGTATCAGGGTACAGTTTCGCGACTTCGGCCACATCCGACTCCACGTTGGTGCTAATATAAACACTTTTACTGCAAGAGAAACATCATCGCAAGATCAGTACCTCTGTGCGCGATGGCTCTCTTCCTCTTCAACATCCTTTTCAATAGCTACAGACTCGCGACTTTCAGGCTGGGATTTCACGGAGTCTGTCTGAGTGTCCGCAAGTACGCTAAAATTCAGATGCACTTGCTCAGTTCTGTCTGATTTATCATATTCAGTAGCCGTTGCCGTTGACGCAACTACAGGCGACGGCTCCGGCAGCTTCGTGGGCATCTTCTCTGTTTCAGTTTCGGTTTTGCGGGAAGCAGCACTTGCCAAATTCTGAAAAACGACCAAATACTAATCACGGAAGCGTAAGACTGATTTATAAGCGAACAAAATAACACCAAACTCGCCCATTCCCAAAGAGATTCATAGACGCGCTGTTCAATAAGGTCGAATCACCAGAAAGGAATTATATTCAGATGACAGCCCAATAAGGAACTACCGCATAGGTGACTCTATTCCACAAAAAAGAAACAGACTTCACAAAAAAACTGGACGGTGCAGGCCAAAAGAGTTAGCGGGATTCAGAAGTAAACTTAGTACGGTAGGCCATTTTCAGGTGGTAAAACAAGTAATTCAGACAAGCTACGAACATCAGATTCTTCCCTACCTGTGATTCGTCAATGTTGAGAAGGTTTTCGACTCAGCTTACATTGAATCCGTACTGGATTCCTCAAATAGCCAGGTAAGCAAGAAAATAAACAGAAACCTCAACGCCACGATTTACAATAATGCAACTGCTAACGTGAAGCTTCACGAAAATACAAGCAAATTCAAATTCTTAAAGGGCGTCTGACAGAGAGGCGCAAAAACGCCAGAGTTGTTCACGGCAGCCTTAGAAAAGATTTTAAGGACACTAGGTCAGGAAAATTATGGGTTGAAAATAAATAGGTACTACTTCAGCCATCTTCGGTCTTCTGACGATATTCTCATGCTCTCAAAGTCACTGGAAGAACTCAACATAAAAATTCCACAGTTGAAATCGAAACACTGGATATTCAACTATCACGTGGGTCAAGATGAAATGCAGCCACAAGGGGTGGTAACATCGAAGTGGCCGACCACCTCGATCATCCTGGCATGGCCAGAACAAAATACCACGCTGTCCCATTTTTCGAAAGTCACCAATTTACTAGGCGTTTTCGGCTGGTTTCTGGCTGAGTTAATTTCTCGTTCATGGGAGTTCGCGGATAAGGCAAAAGTTGTCCATTCAGCAACACCACGAGTTCAGAGCCGACGCCTGTGCTACTGAATCACCATGCCCCAAAAATGAATCAGGGACTGAAGGTATATGCGCGCTACTCTACAGTTATCTGCAGCTTGTTGAAAATATTCAGATCCTCTGTAGGTCACCAGAAGAACTCTAAAGAAGAATCCAAGAGCTGAGCGCCGCCGGCACGAAAGTAGGAATGAAAATGAGCCCAAAGAAGACTCAAATTATGTGCAACAAATAAGTGACAACGCGACTCGTTGAAATCGACGGATTGTTTGAAGAAGCGAAAAGCTAAGTCTGTGTTGAAACGCTCATCTGTGCAACGGGGAAACCAACCGTGAAATAGAAGAACAAAAATGACTTGGAGCACATCTGGAAAACTGAAAATATTCCTAGTCAGGAAAGTTTTCTTTTTCATCTGCTTGAAACAGACAGCATTCGACTAGTGTACGTTCTCAGTGCTAAACCGATGGTGCGCCACGTGGATCCTAAGCCATTCCCAAACTGCAGAGTACGTTACGAAGCGTGGAAAGAAGTCTGACTGAAAAGATAACAGACAAATGAATGGCTAAGCATATACAATGGTGTGTTATGTCATAGCCTGGGTGAATAAATTAAGTTGGCAACGTGCAGAGTACGTTACAAGAAAGTACGCCTATCGTTGGAGCGGCAGGACATTAGACTTGGTTCCA